AGGTTTTGAAAGTTTGATTGTACCATCTTTGGCAATCATTTTGCACCATCTTTTGATTGTTGGTAAGCTAAGAGTGCCATTCAAATCATGAAAAATTTTAGTTGGACCATCACCATTTTTATACTTAGAAATTACAACATTTTTCAAGTCTTGACTTTTCATTGTTACTGATTCACTTGCGTGCGCGCAGAAAAAAAAAAAGAGAATGGTATGTTATTCAGCACAAAATTCTCTATCTTTTAAGACCATGTGCGGTTCATACTTTGTACTACAGAGGCCAAAATTAATCAATACAAAAAGGTTTCATTATTTATGAATCACCCGATAGTTAAATATATTTACAACTAAATTATTTTAAATGTATTTAATTTTTTTTTGTAACTAACTGCTTATATTCTTCAAATCTAAATCAGATATGTTGTACGTATCAGATATGTTGTACGATAATATTACATTACATATTAATGATAATATTACAAAGTTGTTGTAAGTGTAGAAATTAGGCATATAACTTCAGAATTGAGCACCCAATACTCTTCTTTTCTTATTGGCCAAAAGAAGTTTTTACCTGGTCCATGTGGATGCATGAATCTGACTTTTATATCAAGCTCACTCACATTCTCAGCAATCCTTACTCACCAAAATCCATCATAAAAACATGCAATACAATCCGTTTTTTTAATGTTTAATGAAATCTCTTTATTATGTTTCCTTTTTGGAATGATATTAAATATCTCAATACATGTATCAATACTTGTTTTTTTGTAACTTATAGTGTTTGAAGCAATTGGAATAATATGATGATACATCCTTGTGCCAGGAACTGTTCTTCCACATATATATCTTTTTAAATAATTTAAAACAAATTCCATTTATCTTGGCTTTGCAAAAAGAGTACATTAAGTTAACATCTAAAATCTTCCCAGTAGTTATTTGTTTTAGACTTTCTTGACATACTACTCTTTTAACAGTCCCACCAATACCATCACAGGGGGATTTACACCCTGTTAGGAGGTAAATGACAAAGAAAATGTAAAAATTTTAAAATTTTAAAATTTCAAGTCCAGAGGATTAAAAGAGAGATTAAAAGTGCTGCACAACAACAAACGAGAGATTAAAAGTGCTGCACAACCATCTGAGAAGTATTTCACACTTGATACATTTTGTTATATCTAGTTATATATCTTGTTATATCTTCCTGAGTCTTGTAAATAAATCCTGTGTCATGATCAACATCTTCTGAAAAGTAACAAAAAGATTTATGTTTGAGAACCTTTTTCTCTATAAAATAAAGTACAATTGTAAAAAGTGAACATTGACTTTAGCTCCAGTGATAACTTTAAACTTCATCTGAACAACATATTGATAATTTTCAGCAAAATCTCCTAAAATTACGCAAGGAGTGTTAACATTTGCACCTTACGGTGATAAGAGTCACTCTCTGAAATTTTTTTTATTGCATACATTAAAATGTCTAGATCATGGTCATGTTTAATGTTGTTGATGGAAATGATTTTATTTCTGTTGTTGAAGAAGTTTCTTTAATGTTATATGCTAATGAGACCATTTTTGCAACTCTGTTGATAGTGTTTTCAAACTTTTGTTTTGCTGCAGGCAATTAGCTGTGTTTTGCTTTTTAGTTTGACTGGTGAAATTCCAATTCTATAGTGGTAATTTAACTTTTTCTCACTTTTTGATTCCCGTTCCTCCTGTGAATTTAAATCTCCATCAGTTTCTACTGCTTTTTTGTAACATTTACTGCAAAATTTTCATTCTGGGGTTACATAAACATTGTTTTCTTGCAAACATTTTGCCAAATCTAGGGAAATTTTTATATTACCTAAGAAACAAATTTAGTGTTAAGTTTTTAAAATAACTGAAAATATAAAATTTTCTATAAATAATAAATTGTTTTTCTTTAAATTTTCATATCAACTCTATTGTTAGATTACCTTTTATAGTAATTTTTATTTTTTTACTTTCTTTTTTTTATTTTCTTGTGTGTTCCAAAAGGATTGCAACACTTTGTAATTTTTCTGTCAAAATATTTTTCATAGAATTACTCATGATAACAACATATAATTCTTATTGGACAATATTTTTCCTTTAACTTTGTACGCCATATTATTTCTTTTTTTTTTTTCACAAGGAAGATCTTTGAATTGAACAAAATCATGTTTTCTAGAAATCCAGTTTTGTGGCAATGAATGTTAAGACTTTTTCCAATGTCACATTTCTTTCACACAAGACTTTCCAATGTCACATTTCTCCATATTAAATATGATTATTACCTAATTGGACCTTGGACCTTTTTTCTTAAACAGCATTTTTAATGGCATTTCAAATTGATTCACTTTACAGTATATAAAATAGTTTTGCATTTCTTTCACAACACTCTGTAAAAACTAAACTTTATAAGTATTCTGTAAAGTTAAAACATAACATTCTGTAAAATTCTGTAAACAACAAATAACATTCTGTATAGCTAAAAAAATGTAAAAGCAATAAAATTTCATTCTTTAAGAAAATACAAACAATTAAATTACAACCTTTAAAAAGAACAAAATAAAACATTTTCTTGTTTTTGATATAATAAGAGTAAATCACTGAATTGAAGTAATAAAAATAAATTGTTTCTCAGACTTAAACTAAAAAAAAATTATGTTTTTAAATTGGTACATAACAATGAAACATGAAAAGTATGTGGTACAAAAGCCAGTGGTACATAACAATGAAACATGAAAAAATTTAAAATTTGAGCTCCCATATCCAATTTGTTCAAAAGTTATGAATTTTTGATCTCACTGATTTGAATTGAAATAATGAAAATAAATTGTTTCTCAAACTTAAACTAAAAAAAATTATGTTTTTAAAATCAATTTTAATAGTTATTTACTAATAATTCAGATTTAAAAAAAAATCTAGAGAGATACATGTGCGTGTGTGTGAAAGGGGGAGGGGGAGAAAATTATAGTCATGGTCAAAGAGGCCTCCTGGCCCTCGCTTTGACCATGACTATAAACTTCCTAAACTAATCAATAAATATAATAAAATATTACTATTTGATGTTTTATTCAAATAAATTTTTAAATGCAAATTTTGATCAAGTAATAGAGAGGCAGTTGATGAATCTAATTTTTTTCAGTAGACCTAAGATAAAATAATGATAGACAATTAAAGTTTTTACTCGTAATTTTGGGCCACAGTCTTTATTTTACCTCCAAAAATCATGAACTTACAAGTCAATAATTTTGAACAAAATTGAACAAACAAGGTATTTCCTGAGACAATCGAGTTTTGAGGGTGTTTTTTTAAATTCTAAATGTAAAAATCTATTGGGGTACCAAATTTTAGGAAATTTCTCCAAGCCATTATGGGGATGCTATTTGTCAAAGTCGCTTTGTAGTCGCTTCAAATAATCACTAAAATGCTGAGTCAGCATTATTTCAACTGACAATATCTCTGGAACCCATGTGTATTTGTTACTAAAATTTTCGCAGTTATTTTAGGGTTATTTTAGTTATTTTAGGGTACAACTCTAAAACTCAGTTTAATGATTCCAAGGCCAGCTGGTAGGTCTCAGAGATTCCATCAACAGTTGTAAAATATCACAGTATTAAGAGTGTCATGTTGTGCATGGATAGTGTTCCTGTTAGTGCTTCTGGTGTGCATTGTTGAGGCCACATAAGGAGCTTTAAGTTTTGATTTTTGGTTAATTAGCAGGACTCAAGTTCTCTTTAAACTTAAATCATGCCGAAAGAACCTAAAATATTACAACTTGAAAAACTATTCCCACCACCTAATTGTTTCAATAAACATTTAGTTGTTTCAACAAACTTTAAATAAAATAATAATAAAATAAATAAAACTTTAACAAAAATTGGTGGTCGTCGATGTTGGTGGTCACCTGACTAGCTTGCTCTTTGTGATACTAACTTAAATTCGACTATTCCTTCTTCAGATCACAGTATTGAAGGATACAATCCTTTGATTTGCAAAAACTCCAATAATCACATGCTTGACTTGGGAGTATACTTATGCATCAATTCACCTATTTGTCAAGAAATCAGGTTTGAATCCTCTGACCATTCTTTTATGTGCTTCCACTTAGCACCTCCTCACTATATCACCTTTCTCTTTGTTCTTTATTGTTCTCCTTCTATTCAAAACTACACTCTTTTAGATTTAATTTCTCATTACCCTCTGCTAATATTATTGTTATTGGTGACTTAAATGCTCATCACACTGAATGGCTTTGCCACCACTGACCCTGTTTGTACTAAAGCCCATAACTTCTGTATTTCTTAATCTTTTACTCAGATATTAACTTTGTGACTTGTTTTCCGGATAGCCTTAATCTTCACTCCTTGATTTGTGTCTTGTTACTCTGACCCTGGTTATAATATGTATGTTGATTTTAATAAAAAGGCAGCGTATAACAATTTCTAAATATATTTTGATATAATAATATATTAACGATGTTTCGCTGACCTATTGTGGTCAGCGTCATCAGGTAATAACTACAAATTATCACCTGATAACGCTGATCACATAAGGTCAGCAAAATATTGTTAATATATTAGTATTTAAAAATAGTTATAGGCTGCCTTTTAATTGAAATCAACTTACATATTACATATATATATATATATATATATATATATATATATATATATATATATATATATATATATATATATATATATATATATATATATATATATATATATATATATATATATATATATATATATATATTAAAAATAATAAACATCTTATTATATCGGTTATATATATATATATATATATATATATATATATATATATATATATATATATATATATATATATATATATATATATATATATATATATATTAAAAATAATAAACATCTTATTATATCGGTTATATATATATATATATTATATATATATATATATATATATATATATATATATATATCGGTAGTATATACATAGGAATTTTAAAATATTTTCAGGAATATGATAAAGCATTACGATTTGTAAAGAGGCTTTTAAATATCGAACCCAACAATGCCCAAGCTAAAGAGTTGGAAAAATCAATAGAAAGCAAAATGAAGTCTGGTAGGTGGTTTATTAATAAATTAGCCAATATGGAGGAATAAATTTTAATATTACTGTTTTTTTAGATGGTGTTATGGGTATCGCGATGGTTGGAGGCGCTGCTATTGCAGCAGTTGGAGGAATCGTACTTGGTTTATTGCTGGCAAAACGTCGTTGATGTGTTATGTTTGATTACAAATAAACATTATGTTGAGACACGTGTTTAGCATCACGTGTTCAGCATATATTAACAAAAAGAAAAGTGATAGCAGCATATGTTGATACTTTATGCTGTGATAAAGGGATAGGACATTCTTTTTCTTCAAAGTTCTTATTTTCAAAAATATGTTTTGTTATTTATAATTAATGAGTTTTTTTTTTGTTTTTTTTTCTGCTTTACTTTCAGAGGCAAGTTCCATAGAACAAAAAAAAGAAACCAAAAAATGTAAATTTTATGCTTACTGTTTTTTTAAAAAACCTATCATAATACATAAACACAGTATGATTCTGAATGTAAAATTGTACCAAATATATTTTTATATCGAAAAGTCATTTTTTTTTTTTTTTTCTTTGAATTTTATTAAAATAGTAATATATGACGCTATGGAAAACTATGAGATCCATTTTGTTCAAAAAAATATTTTATTTTAAATATTTAAAAAAAACTATTTAATTTTACATATTTTAAGTAGTTTATTTGTGAATTGTTAATAATGTCGAATTGTTGTTCATTGTTTTTTGTTTTATTTTCTTACAGAATATATTTAGGCGGGGTTACATGATGTTTTCATGTTATTACACTATTAACTTTGTAAAACTAAAGATTTTAGATGCGACTAAAACTTAAACGACAATGCTAATAGAGGGGCGGCATGCTATTAGAGGGGCGGCATGCTAATAGAGGGGCGGCATAGAGGGGCGGCAGCGCAGTTCATGATCCACAAAAGACATGCCAATAAATTTTATTATAAGATTAGAGACGTAACAAATCTTTGTAATACAAATTTAAACGTAACCGCACTATGTTTTGACTTTATGCAAAATCTCCCTCTTCCGCACATACTTGTTCAAGAGAGAATTTTACTATCGTCGGCTTTGGGTAAATACCATTAAAATTCACAATCTGGGAAATAATGCGGCCACTGTTATGTTTATTACGAAGGACAGGCTCAAAAAGGCCTAAAGAAAGTATGTACCATTCTACAGAATTATATTTTCACAAAAATTCCGGTTTCTGTTCAAAAACTCTGATGCTGGACAAAATAAAAACCATACACTTGTTTAATTTCTAGTAGCCATAAAAGCTGGAAAGCGTTTTAAGAAAATTTATCAATATATTCCTACGCGGGAACACTCATTCCTTCCCTGTGATAGAGACTTTGATAGTATCAAAAGAAATATAGGAAAGCATCGATTGATACGAAAGCATCAATCTACCTTTTGGTTGACTATATTGATTTGAATGCCATTAGCAAAAAAAACTCCAAACCATTTACGGTTACAAAGGTCACGAACAAGGACATTTTAAATTTCAAAGATTGGTGGCCTTCTGTTTTTAAAAAAGCCTAAAAACCGATCAGAGACAACATACGCAATTGAGCATTTTTTGCATCGGATTATAAATTGTTTGTTTATGACAGTCCAATGCTTGATTAAGAGACAACATATGACTTTATTGATAAACTATGTTCCAGAACTTTTAAAGTTGTAAAAAATTGAGTTGAGCAACAACTGCTCACCAAGAAAGTTTATCAGGAACCAGTTGCAATAAATGAAAGAAATATCAATGATATTAAAAAACTAGAATGTTACATACCCACAAACGCAAATGAGTTTTATTAAGATAAATATTCCTAGAAAACCTACAGCCGAGGATAATTACTTTTTTTTTATTGCAATGACTGTTGTATGTTAATTTAAATATTTATTTGTTTAATAAAGTTTAGCTTTTCACGTAAAGTTCGCAGTTTTTTTCCTGATTCGTAAAAATTTGATTGCGATGAAGAATAGTGTCCAAGAATTTTATTTAATTTTTGTAGCAAGAACAACTTTCTTTTTTTTATGAACTACCATTATATTAACAGACCCTTATGGAATGGAAGTAAACACTTGTTAAGATGGCTTCCAAAGTAATAGTTTATAAACTATAACTGTTTAAAACTTAAACGTTGATTATCTCGAAAGGAAAATATTGGACTAGTCCTGTTCTTTTTTTCACCAATTCAATTTTCAGGTTTATTGCTTAACCGGATACATTATTAATTAACTGTCCGAATAGAATTCTTTTTGGTGAGCCTTTTTTGAAACATCCCCGCCACAATTAGTAAAATATTGATGTCTCGGAAAAAATTATATGGTATGTGAAATAACATAGTATCAATTATTATATTATTATAAATTATATGTGATAATAATAATAGCGATAATAGTAGGTCTGTCCTAAAAGATCTTAATAGAGAGGGGGTGACGTATCGGTTTTTTTGCTGACTAAGATCATTGAAAAAAAAAAAAAAAGGTCGTCGTTGGCTAACATTTGCCGACTGCCAACTACCGATCTAATTTTGACGACTCCAGTGTCCAAATTTTCCGACTAATTTTTGAATATAGTTTTCCCAGGCGTTTAGATACCCCCTCAAGGACATCCCTGTAAATATTGAACAATAGGATATAATGTTTTAGATTAAAAGTAACTAAACATTGTTACTTTTAGATAAAAAGCTAATTTTATTGAAAACACTTGCTTTTAATTTACTCTGGTAAATGCATATCATTCAGATATTATTATAAAAAATATATTTTATATAAACACTCTAATTCTGATCCACATAATGAACGTTATCATTGTTTTTATTTCTTTTTTTAGCTTCACGCAGAACCTAGTTAAGCTCCCTGTTTTTTTCACCTTTTTTTCTTTCTTTTTTTCACCATTATATTTTTGGCAATTGTTTGAATACTACTTAATAATAAGCAGTAATATTCCTGGCAGCGCCGGCCTTAGCTTTTTTGACAGGTTGGGCAAAACTGGGTGAACGCGCCCCTAGGTATATATGGGTAGGTTGTTACCATTAACAACGAGACCAATGCTCTAAAATGATGAACAAGAGTGCTAAAGGGAATATATAGTTTAATGCAAAGAGATCTATATTGTGCATCAAGTTTCTTATTTAATTAATTTTTTATTAAAATTGTAAACTTAGACTTTTCATGATATGGGTTTATAGAAATGAGTGACTAAATAAATAGACAACGCAACGCTGCTTTAAAAATAACAAATGTTTTTATTAAACATATAATAAATCCTCTAACTATATAAGCAAGAGTTATTAAATTTTAAAATCTAACTTTTCTAGCTTTTTTGTCCGCGAAATCTCTTATCAAACTAGAAAAATCTAAATTTTCAGCTATATCTTGCTCGATTGATAACATAGATAGAGAATTAAGTCGATCTTGCAACATGATATTTCTTAAATATGTTTTGATTAACTTCAGTTTAGAAAAACTACGTTCTCCACTAGCAACAGTAACAGGTATTGTAAGAAGAATGCGCAGAACAATCCATGTATTTGAATATAACTCTTGTAGACAATGTTTTTTAATAAGATTCAGTACAAAAAGTGGTGTCATCTCTTTTGTATTTATTTCATTTTCAACATTGCTTAATTTATCTTTTATAAAAAACTGCACACTTATTAGTTCATCGCATAGCAAAGCACCATCGATTTCTGATTTTGTATTTACAGTTAATTTTTCTTGTAATTGTAAAGTGTATAATTTTTAATGCAGAAATATTTTTCAACCTTTTTCGAAAATCCTCAATGTAGTTAAAGCAATTTACAAACTATTTGTTATTTGAATTCTTTTATTTGAAATTAGCAAATTTTATCAGCGAATTATGTCTAAACTTTAGATGTTATAAATTTTTTTGATTCAGGTTTTTTTAATATTTAAAGAAACTTTACTTTTTTTAAATATAACTTTCAAAACCTTTTTACTACTTCTAATAGTAAATCTAAAGATTCGCTTTTAGGGTCATGTTAATGCTTATCGGTGTTAGCATAAACTTAGTTAAAATCTTTTAAAAAAGTGCCTTAACCCACTATAAGTTCTAATCGGTTCTGACTTATATTAACTATATATAGTTATCAAAATACAATATTTCTATCAATTTTCAAAAAATTATAGAGTTCTGACCTAAAAAGGGCTTATAATTTAAAAAAAAAGTTGTCAATAAACGATCAGAACAGAGCATCTATTAAACAATGATGTTGGTTTCACCTAAAAAACGCATTTATTCAAAATCTTATTCAAGTTTGGACAAGCAATTGTGATTTTAAGAAATTTTGCTACAAACATTTATATTTTATGATACCGCAAAATTGATCATTTTAATTTTTTTTGTCTTATCATAATTCACAGACCTGATCATTTAACAGAAATAGTTGTCAACAAAATATCATACAGACGCTAAAATACTTTAAAATTGCCTTAACTACACCGAGTCGAGAACATTTTAATCCAACCATATTTCAACTCAAGTTTAAAATCAATTCTTAATTTCTGCTTATTATTTATGAACTTATAATAACTGAACTTGTGTGGGCATAAAAGAATGTTAAAAACTTTAGCTAGTAATGTGGTATCAAATATTCTGTTACCTGCAATTTTTTTGCAACAACTGTCATCAACTAACTCACTTTACACTTTGAACAATTTAACTTTTTTTTCAGAAGATGTTGTTAAAAGGTCTGTTGTTAAAAGGTTAACAGCAACTGTAACTCCAGAACTTTTAGTAAAACTTTTAAGTTGTAACTTTTGAAAGTAGCGTATCGTAAGTAGAGGCATCTACAAAACTTCCTACTTTTTGTTAAGGTGTTTAAGCTTAACAAATGTTAAAGTTTTCAGTTTTTTTTTTCTTTATATTTAAAAAATATTTAAAAATTGTAATATTTAAAAATGCTGAGTTTTTTTTGTTTATAAGTAATTTAGTGACCATAAAATGTTAATTTATAATTTTAATCTCAAAAATAAGCCCATAGCAACTGCATAGCAACAAGAAATAATACTCACTTTTGAGCTAACTTTAAATAAATTTCATGTAACACTTGCTTTCAACCATATCTCCTTTGCTTTACATCAACTTAAAAAAATACGCAAATTATATTCATTATGTTTAAAATGAAAATATTTATTTATCTATGTGTATACTAGTTTTGTTTTGTTTCTTTGAGTTTGAACAAGAGTATCTCTTTAACTACTCATAGATTATGGCTGCAATTTTCAAGAATTGTTCAACAGATTACTGTAAAAGGATTTGACCAAAACAAGATTTTTATAGTTTGCTTATGTTGAGATATTGGTATTGGCAGCATTCATATTACATAACAATTAGAAACCTTGACTTAAAATATTACATAACAATTAAGAACCTTGACTTAAAATCCCACCCTTTTGATATCGTGCATGTTATGATGGTAATTCTGGGCAAATCATAAATTAACATGTTGTAAATCTTTTTATAAAAATTTAGGCTAAAACTCTGGCTAGTTCAGAACAAATGCCTATTTGAAAATTTAGTTTAAAGTCACATATTTTTTGCTGACTTAGCATGTTCTTGAGTTTGTTCAGAGTTTTTATTACATTTATTCTAAAGATTTTCAATTCAAATTGTTATATAATATATATATATATATATATATATATATATATATATATATATATATATATATATATA